AGTAAAAAACAGCAAGCCAAAGAAATTCAAGGCATAAGCTTAAAAAAGGGAAAAGGAGTCATAGCTAAAATTAGTTTATACTTCTTCATATATTTTTATCTGTGCAAGCCGTCCTTTGTTCTACCATATCTATTCACCAGTTCACATACCCCCTTTTTATTCCATAAACTTTTCATCTCTTTCTCTTTGAGAATGTCATCAAATCCATCCAGCATTAATTCCTTATATCCCATTTCTCTCAACCTATTCAATAATCCCTCACATATTTGTTTTGTAATTTGATCATAATTTACTCTCTCTACATGATCCCCCTCCCAGCATGCTTAAATTGATTTCATGTCTGTAATTCTCTTTTGTATTCAGTTCATATTCATTCAGCAGCCATTCATTTTTTCTCCCATCTCTTCTTGTTTTACCACACACATACTTTTTGTTTCATTGCACCTAATTTACTGTTGTTTCTCCTAACATATCCAATTCTCATATAACCAAGTGTGGACAAGCAGTCTGTTTTATATAGCCTTTTGTTGTTTTTTCAAAACAACATTCATTTTTTACAACAGACCTAAAAACATCACTATATTTGATCAGCATTAATGTTTATCAGTTCATTTTTAGTAAATGTTTTACAGAAGAACCCAAATTCATTAGTTGCTGTTACTATTTTCCTATTATGTTTCCCCGAAAATAAGGCCCAACCAGAAAATAAGCCTAGCATGATTTTTCAGGATGCTCGCAATATAAGCCCTACCCCCAAAATACGCCCAAGTTAAGATCAACAGCTCTTGAGGGAGTGTGGCCAGCAGAGGAGGTGGCAAGCACGTGGGGTTTGACTGTGTCTGGCAACTGCCATAGCCCATTAGTCCCTTGGCTGGTGCATTCTGGTGTGCAGTGTGGGTAAATTCGAGCACTGTGACTGTCAGCCCAGCGCTCCAAGCAGCAGACATAGGTGCAGGGGGCAGACATGATCTAGCCCATTGGATGTGCCACAAGGCCACCTGCCCTGTCACATCTGCAGGCAAGCAATGACAGACAGTGGGACACAGTGGGTGAGCAGCCATGTGGCTGGCACAATCTGGGGCTGTGCAGCCTATGCAGCACAGGTGAGTCCAAGAGTTGTGACTGCTGAATCAGCCCTCCAAGCAGCAGGCAGAGGCAGAGGCACAGGAGAGAGGCACGTAATTCTTCCCACCATCTGTCTTTGCTTGCCCACAATGGGCTAGGTGGCCATGTGGTACATCCAGCAGGCCGGATATGTGCCTTTCCCCACTTCTGCTTTCTGCCTCCACCTGCTCCTTGAAGGCCAGCCTGGCAGTCACAATACTTGGATTCACCTGAGATGCACAAGTTGTGCAAGCCCAGAGTGTGCCAGCCAAGGGGTCGATGGGCTACAGCTGCTGCCAGACAGTTGGACCCCACACGCTTACCACCTCCAGTGTACGTACCAGGGGTGGCACGCCCAGTTGGGGTAGGCTAGGCCAGGGCAGCACAAGCTGGTCCCTCACCAGCTCCAGTACTGTGTTTTCCTGAAAATAAACCCGAATGTGTCGTGTGTGTGTGTGTGTGTGTGTGTATGTATGTGTATGTGTATATATATATATATATATAATATTCAGCTTTGTTAGGGTATTTTCCCACGTCATTATAGTTGTGCTTTTAAAGTTGTCACAACGTTTTGGCAGAATCTCATCTGCCATCATCAGGCTTCAGCAGATGAGATTCTGCCAAAACGTTGCTACAACTTTAAAAGCACAACTATAATGACGTGGGAAAATACCCGAACAAAGCTGAATACCATACATGTAAGTACCCGTGAAAACTCAAGAAAACAAATATATATATACCAGATCTTATTTTGAGGGAAACACGGTATTTTCATATTACTTGCAATCATTTACTCTGTTTTTCTTGAAGAACACTATTATCTCAGCCTTTCATATATACAATTTCAGTTCCAAGCTCTTTAGCCCAATCATATCAATTCAAAAGTGCACGTATATCCATGGTCCCAATCATCACAATTCTAATAAAAACAAACTTTCCTTATCCATTCTTCCATAACTAAATTAAAAATTAAGGGGATTTTATGCACATATCCTTGTCTTATGACAGCATGTCAGCATTCAATCATTCACAAGAATCATTCACAAAAAGCATTCTATTTATTCTTCCATAGGTTTTAATTCCATTATATGCCAGTGTTATCATCCTCAGCAACTAATATTCAATTTTATATGATATTAAAATAAAACTTGCAGCTGTAGATCAAGAGGACTTTAAGGGTAACAAGTTCTCCAGCAGATTATGAAGTGACTGGGGAGAATGTTAATTAGTTTACTTTGCAATGGGGCAAAACAATTAGTCACACACTGCTTATCTTATTTTTCTTCTATAGCAATTTGTGCCTAATGGCTGCCACTGTGTATGCCCACCATATCAGAATTTAAGTGAAATCATGTTCTGGAAAAAACTAGTTCAGGATGACTGGTGAGTCAAATTTCAAACGTCATAGAATGTCTGCAAGATGTGATTGTTCTAAAAAGCTGATTTTAAAACAGCTCTTCAGTGTAGGAAGTGAGTTCAGTGAAATGAACTAAAGACTCACACTTTCTGTTTGTTTACATTGGATACTTTCACCATGTGCATTTCATTTATTTATGCATGGTCATTATTGATCAAGGGAATAATAGTCCCAAAATTAGGGATTTTCCAAGAGCTATTAGATTCACATTTGATATTTTATTTTAGTTTTCATTTATTGGATTTATACGCTACTCCAATATGAATGACTCAGACTGGGAAGAGAAATATTCTAGAAAAGGCCTTATTTTTTACATCTGTAATTACTTTCTCTTGTCTCCCTAATGACATTTTCAAAGCTTTGATGGAAGTCATAATGTTTTAGGCAGGAATCAACAGCTAAATGCCAGTGTCTTTGTTAGCTACTGGAAGATTAAATTCTGCAGTTCTGGGAATGTTTTGAAGTTGTTATGTAAGAATTATTAAGTCATACTGAAAAAAATAGATTCAGAAACATTTTATATGAAAAGTGATTAAATCAAATATTCTTGCTCTATAGATACTGGCCTAAAATTAAACAGTCCAAATAAGCCAAGAGGTACATGACATTTTTAAAATGGACAGATTCTCTCCTTTTATTCATTACACGCAACAATTAAATGTAGAAATTTTCAATTAACTATGTTTTCTGTTTCATTTAAACTTAGAAACTAGTTATAATTTGGAACAAATTAGTCTCTTAAATTAACTTGAGACTATGGGTTAAGACCGTAATTTGATATGAACCAGTTAATCAAAATTTTCCAGATTTGATCAAATAGCAATAGCACTTAGATTATATACCACTCCATGGTGCTTTTACAGCTCACTTTAAGTGGTTTACATAGTCAGTATATTGCCCCCAACAATCTGGGTCCTCATTTAACCCACCTTGGAAGGATGGAAGGCTGAGTCAACCTTGAGTCTGGTGAGATTCGATCTGCCAAATTGCAGTCATCTGGCAGTCAGCAGAAGTAGTCTGCAGTACTGCATTCTAACCACTGCACCACTGTTTAATTGATGTAATGAGTGGAGAAAATAAAGGTGAATGTGTATCTTGGCTTATTAGACCAATATATGATCATTCATAAACAGTCAATATGTCCAGCTAAACATTACATTAAGCTCAATACCCTCTGGAACAATACCCTCAGGTGGACTTCCATGGGATAGATTTTATTGCTTGTTGTTGCTTCTGGTTTCTCACAATTGCAGTAATTGCCTGTATACAGTGGACCCAATGCCAGTGCCAAGACATGAAGTTGAGGAGTATTGCCTGCTGTGTGATTGCAAGTTTGTGGAAAGAAAGAAAACCACCACTAAGGTAATATATCAGACTTTCTCTTACACCAGCTTTCTCTGTCTTCTTTCCTCAATGTATAGAACTAGGAATTTTGACTGATTCCAACTGTCAAGGAAACTAAAAGAGACTGAAAAAATAATCACAAGGAAATTAGCACTATGACATTCAGGCAAGAGTGTCTACTATGGTATTTCTCATGTAGATCTTGTAGTTAAAACCACAGATGTTGTTGCATGAGAGTTAACTTCTCTAGAGAAGCAAGTACATGCATTGGGGGACTCATCTTATGTGTTTTGGATTGTTTAACTCTGCTAGGAAAGCTGTCATTTTCTTCATCCTTTCCTAATCTGATGCCCTTGAACAATACAGAATTCTGAGGCTGCAGATTGTTCCAAAGTTTGCAAAGGCATCAAATTGGGTAATTCCAGCCTAATACTTTTGTGCGTACTTTGATCTTCTCTTTCTAGCAGTGCTGATTTCCCTTTTTGCAATATAGATGTTGACGCCTTGCTTAAAGCATGTTCTTTTATCCACTGTGTATGATGATATTTCGCTTCTCGGTTCATGCAGATCATCCTCATCATTTTCCTCTCAGTGTTTGGAGCTATTTTACTCTACACAGTCTTTTCAATGGTAGTTAAGCACTTCATCCGTAAACCTGATACCTACACCAAGCCCCTGCACAATAAAGAAGAGTCAGAGGTGAGTCTGATGCTTTTTAAATGGGTTTTGTTTTCATTCAGACTGTCTGAATCTGGTGTCTCCCATACATTTGTTCCAGTGATGGTATTCAGCCGGTTTGCACCAGATCGGGCGAACCAGTAACAAGAATTTGGCGTGGGTCACCGAATCGGTAGTAAGTTCTGGCTGGCCACGCCCCCCCCCACCTGGTCGCCCGCCCGCCCGATGCTCGCTCACCCCGCCCGCCTGCCTGACATTTGCCTAAGGTATTTCTTTCTTTTTTTCCCTCCCAACAATCAGCTGTAGATAAGATCAGCTGTGCCGCGATTTCCCTTGCTGAGGCCCAGGAAGTCAAAAAATGGAGGGAGGAGCTCAGCCCCCCCCTCCATTTTTTGCCTTCCAGAGCCCCTGAGGAGCCTTAGGGGAGCAAAAATGCCCCTCCAGATGCTTCTCTGAGGCTAGGAAGCTCCCAAAACAGAGCTTGGAGGAGTGCTGCATGCCCCTCCCATGCTGTGTTCCTTGTCTTCCAAAGCCCCAGAGGAGCTTTAGGGGAGCAAAAACGAACCCCCCCGCTGAGGCTCCTCTGTGACTAGGAAGCTCCCAAAAATGGGTGGGGGCTGCAAAAAAAGCCACTCCCACCCAGTCACATGGCCATGCCCACCAAGCCACGCCCACAGAACCGGTAGGAAAGGTTTTTGAATCCCACCACTGGTTTGTTCCTATACTGCCTTATTCAACTGATTGTGGAAATTAAAAGTTAATAAATTTGAAAAACCTCAGAATCTTGTAGAAGGTTCATCTTGGCAGTGATCAGGCTGTTAAATGGATGTGTTTAGTAAATTAATTGGTATTTTTACATGTATTCTTATTCACTTATTCACATAAAGTTTTCTGTATGCATAGAATCCTTCCCACCCACAGAGGACATCTTGTTCAGTGTGCAACCCTTTAGCTTTAGATATTCTTCAACCCAATGCATGCACAAAGTCATCCTTTCCAGACAGCACAATGTCTCAGGAAGATTTAAGATACACCTTAAAATCTGTGTCTATAATCAGCACTAATATTTTCAAGCTGAAACACTGCAGATAAGTTGGGACTGCAGCTTTTCGAAGTTTGAAGGTGACTGGGTTAGAGAAGAAAGCTTTAAACAATTAGTAAATGCAGGGTTTCATTCTAGATTGTGGATTACATCTTTGACACATTAAATATGAGCACCTTTTGCTTGTTTTCATAGACAGTAGCCATTCTTAATGGTCTGAAGAATACTGCACTATTATCATTGCTTGAAAATGTTTCTCAGCGTCATGGATTTCATTAGCATAATATTGAAAGAATCCAAATGTACCATTGATACATGTTGCTATACAAAAAATGTATAAGTGTGCCCAATTGGAGAGGCTCACACTCAAAATCAGTGGGAAGGAGGACACAGATTATTATAGGATATGGGATAAATGGTACAACTGGGTAGATTGTAAAGGGAAAACACATAAATGAACCCAAGAAACAAATTATATTCAGCTGTCCATACGAAATGTATAAGAATAACAAAGGTGTTAAATCCTCTTTTCTCCTACATTATTATTATTATCATTATATATTAACTATATCTTTTTATTTATTATTTAAATTTTTTTGAATATATTATTATATATTAACTATATCTTTTTATTTATTTAAATTTTTTTGAATGTATTATTAATTAATAGTTATAAACAAACAAGAAGATTAGTAGAGTATTGTGAGTTATTTAGTGATTAAGATGTGATAGTAAATGGAAATGTGAGAAGTATCAGTAATGACTGTTAGGACATATCAAATTCGATATTAAATGTAAAGAGGAATGTGTTATGTATACACTATTGGTTTTGTATTTTTAAATTTGTATGTTTTTAATTCTTGTAAAGAAAGTTTAAAATTTAAAAAAAGAAAAAGAAAATGTTTTCTCTTGTTAATAATCAGTAACTTAATTTAATTTTGTCATTTATAATGTGTATACGCTTATATTTGTTTATTCTATTTTAAGAGTAGTCCAAGATGAAGCATCATTATTACTATGCATGTGAAATGTGCTTTTTTTGGTGATGTTTCTTCTTGTATTACTGCAGGATCCCCACGCTTGATCTCTTCCCCAAGCTACCTAAGAGTATATGCTGCATTTGAAGCAAGCTACTAGTTGCACATTCCATTGATGAGGACTGCCATTTGCTTTATTTGTTGCTGCCAGGAAAATAATAACTGTAGGATAACTATTTGACTTCAAAAGTGAGAAACAATTACAACTTAATTTCAGTTCTATAATCTGCCAAGCATTGGTCTGGTTTGGTGATAAAAATGTAGCATGCATTTATTCATTGCTTACAAACCTGAAGCTTAGCTTTTAGCTCGAGCAGGATGTATTATTAATGGAATAAAAACAGCAACATCCTTTTCATTCCATTGACTGCCAATATATGATATTTAACTCTTGCAAAATATTTGCAGAGAAATGTCTTGGATTCTGTCTTTAAAGCACTGGTTTGAAACGTTGGCACCAAAGACAAAAATGTAATAAGGGAAATTAATTTAGCAAAAAAGGAGTTACTGCATTTGGCTCATAAATTCTTACAGATTCTGCCTTCAAGGATTTTTTTTCAGGATAGTTAACTTTACACCAAAGAAATATGGACAATTTTTTTTACCACTGTCATAGTTAACCCATCAAAAGAATGACTCTGGATGAGCTCCGTGCTTCCCAATCTCCTTAAGGGACCAAAACCAAAAGGCTTGTGAGTGTCTCTTCTACATGCAGATTTTTAAACAGTCAAGTGGTTATACAGAATACAGATTCTTGTACTTTTTGCTGGATTCACTGGATTATTTAGTGCAAAGGAAATTGCCCTTCTACATGTGGCAGTCTATCCCATTATGCAAAACTGAATTCCACTATCAAAGGACATTTAGAGAAATATAGCCCTACATTTTATTATTATCCCAAAAAGTGCCATGCAACATGCATCTTTTAAAATAAAATTTAAGTTGGCTTAATAGAAAATTTCCTGCGTGATACTGGATATTCCCCTTGGCCAACATGACTACAATTACTTATTTTATTCTAATTTTACAATACATCTTGCCCAGATGTAGGGACCTATAGCAATTAGGTCTAGGTCAACAATTAAGGGAAAGTAGCATTAACAGTATGTAATTGTGAAATGTAATGTTCTAATGATCTCTCAGTACCTACTATCAAAAGATCTTGAAGGGTGGACAGTATTTTTTCAGCATACTTAAATATTCCAGTATTAAGCAAACTACTTTATCTCTCTTGAAGTATCTCTTGAAGATTGTATCAGTCTTTCTTGCTATGCAGCATCTTTTCATTAAACCCAGAATGTTAGTATAACCTAGATGTCAGGCATAATTCAATACTTTTTGTTCAGAAGGAGATATCATGCAAAGGTTTGGAGAATATATAGAAATGGGGGGGGATCATAAAATACATGTTAGGCATATCATATCTGGACTGTAAAAATCCAAATGATCATTTATGGGCAGATGACCACTTATGGGTATCCATATGGTCCAGCCATGTCTAAAATACAGTATGCACATTGTATCATCAGCTGGTTACTAAGTATGCATCTGCAAAAAATGTTATGCATTATTTACATGGAAGTATCTGTTAAGTATCTGCTTTTATGTACTGAAAATATTTACAAGCTATATTTTAAAATTCAAATATTCAGTGATGTACAAAAAAGAAGTAATAGAAAAAAACTTTCTAAGATGTCAACAATAAAATATAAAATAAAATCACTAAAATGAATCATGTTGTTAATATTATTAATACAATAACTCCAAATATTTCTAGTACATTTTGTGTTTTGTGTTAGACACTTATGTGGCAGAAATATAGGAAGCCATCAAAATGTATCATTCGGGTATTAGCTTAACACTGTCCCTCTAGAGCTGAAACTCATGCGATAATAACAATGGCCATGCGAGTGTGAGATGAACAAAGGTGCCATCTGGAGGAAAGCAGATGGAAAACTTTTTTTACAACAGTGATTGGCCTTGACTTGTCAGTTTTTCTGGCAAGAATTTCTACAATCTTTCCTAGAGATTTGGGGGATTGAACCTGAGAAACTTTATAAATGGATAATGTTTGTCACCCCACTGCTAATGAAGAGAAATTAATATCTTATAATATGTGGGGAAAAGATTTTCCATAAAATGCTTACTGTTTCCATTCCTACCTTCAATCATTGCCCCTTCAGTTTTGGTAAATATTTTCTTTCCTTCTTTCTTTTTTGGCACAACTCTTACTGAAGAAGAATGAACAAAAATAACTGGTTTTCTAATTTTTCCATCTTCACTGACTTTTTAAATCATTTTTTTTAGAAGATCATGACCTTTTTGCCCTTAAGTTCAGGTTATTTTGAACTGTAGCTTTCCTGATACTATCCCTGCAATTCAGGAATACCTGTATATATTCTTCCCTGAAACCCTACTCTCATCTTGAGTATTTAGTTTCTCTTACCAACCTCTGCAATTAAACAGTATATTATTGTAAATCAGTATACAGATATATTAAAATTCTATGCAAATTTCCCAGAGCAAATAAAAATATAAACATCAGTGCTCTTTTTATGTCTCTGTATAGTTCTCATTAAAGCAAATTCCTCTTAGTAAAGCTGTTTGGATTGTTCAGCAAATAAACATGAAAACATTTGATGGGGTGTCTCTAAAGTTATCCTGAATCAGCAGAACTCTTTTCACTTGAATCTACCGCAGCCTCATAATTAAAGCTTTAGATTTTAGGGATATACAAACTTCCATTTCTTCATGTTAGACCATTTTTCATCAGTTATAACCAATTATTTTTAACCAATCATTTTATTTTAGGTCCAATAGATTAATAGAAATAATCCACCAGGAGATTATTCTGTGGATGTTTTTAAGGAACAAATCATGAAAGAACAGTTTATGCTGAAGTAGTTAACTTAAGTAAATATTAATTAAATGAGTAGTGGGGCTTTTAAAACAGCCCCTCTTATCCTCTTAGTTTTATAACACTTAATCTAAACACCATGCCCATATTGTGAAGTCTAGAAATAAGATTCTGCAGTTTCAGCAGCGTTCAAGCCATATAGCCATCAACTACAATACATAATATTCTTGTTATTTTTACTTTTTGTCCATGCTGCATCTGCATTTGATGTATTTGGTGCATCTTCCAAAGCACTAGTAATTGATGAAAAGTATACTTTTGTCTGTAACCACCTCATAATATCAGTTTATCAACCTTCTGTTTAAAAGAGGATCAACAATCTTCAGTTATCTATCTTTTGAGAGAAGGTGTAACTTTGAAAATAATAATAGAACACTATCTTGCACCTTTAGAAGAATGCTGAAATAAACAATAATGGAAATATTAAGTGGATAAGAACTGTTGGGATTTATTACTTACATATAACAGTTGAACAATGAAATCTGATTCAGTGTCAATACCTACATTTAAAAAATATATTGAAACACTTTTATTGAAGGCTCCAGGGAGGGCTGCGTTTTAAAGGGGAATTGTGTCACTGGCATGGTATTTCCTCTCATCCTCCTGAACTAAGATGGAGGTGATAGTTCCTGAAGCTGGATCACAGACCCATGAAGAACTTAATGGCATATAAAGGACCCTTCAGTTCTTGAGAATGTTTTGAGACAAACGGTCTTAACAACCTGAGACAAATTATCATCTTGGTTTCCTGAGTTTGGCCACTGGAGGACAGTAGAACCTTGGATGGTGCCCCCCTCGGGCTTTGGCAGTTCAATTCTGAGGACATCTTATTTTGCAGACCCCAACACCATGGCATCTTGATTTTCTTCCATCACTGCCTTTTTCTTAAGCTCTTCTCCTTCTCCTTCCACATTGCTGTTATTGCTTGGATAATTTCAAGAGCTTTGTGCTTCTGCCTCTTTTTGTAGCTGTTGTCAATCAATAACAACTGCTTCCCGAGTCCTTTTCTTTTTGCAGCCCTTTCTCTTGTACATTGTCTTCCTTTTCCTGATGCCTACAATCTCATCATTCTAAAAACTGCCTGCAAAGGTAAATCTGTTCATCCAAAAAATTCTGCACTTAGTTTGGACCCACTCATTTCCTTAGCTGTAGAAATTTCTGCTCTCAGGGGGAAGACATTTTGTCTGAAGGACAAGCAGTGATACTGAGAACCTACTGTGTACATATAGTCCTTTATTTACAATAGTTTGTTTAGTGACTGTTCAAAGTTACAATGACACTGAAAGATGAGACTTATGACCATTTTTCACAATTATGGTCATTGCAGCATCCCCATGATCATGTGATTAAAATTCAGATGCTTGACAACTGGTTCATATTTATGACCATTCTGTGTCCCAAGGTCATGTGATCACCTTTTGTGATCTTCTCACAAGCAAAGGCATTTGAAAGGATGGAAATACTGGATTTTGAAGTCCCTAATAGATTTTTGGGTGGCACCTGCTTGCCTACTTTTTACTTTACTTACTGACTTCATCTGGTAACTCCATTTTTCTCTTTACTGAAATTGTTTGCACACATCTTGAGACCCTTTTCCCATTAGCTTCTTATAATGGAATCCTTTGTATCATTGTTTTAAGTTTATTAAAATCATAGAATTTTCAAATATTTTATATGAAGTTATGCATCTGTTATATGCACATCTTGAAGATGTTTGATGTCTAAGAACTAGATGTCCCCTTGAGGTTAGATAGTTTAGTTCACATCATCCTTTTATATGCTTTCAATCTTTTGATGGTGGTCATTGTTTTACTTTAAGAATGATTCGATTTCATTTAAGGCTGAGTATTTCCAAATGTTATCTATGTTGAATTTGGGCCAAACCACTTTCAAGTGCATTCCTTTGGACAATGGTGTTTCTGCACCTGGATCCAGTCCTGGCAATCACCACCATTAAGAGAATACCCTAGAGGAGTATAAGGCTTAACCCTTCCATAATGGAAAATCTTATGTGCATAACAGTTAAATACAAACAATCAAGATGCTGTCCTTTATATGTAAACATTTTATGTGCACGAAGAGGAAGCCAGGGGCTGCAGTCCAGAGGTTATGGTTAGGTCTCAGTTACAGCTAAAATTGTTAAGAATTAAACATTCTGCAGTTTGAGGCTTACTGCTGTCTTTGCTTTTGGGGGGGGAGGGCTTTACATTTCTAGCATTTGTCAAGATGAAATAAATGTTTGTCTTACAAATGATATGATAGATTGTGGAATAACATGAAACTAGTGTTAACTGAAAGCTATGACATGGATGTGGGTTTTTTAAAAAATAAAAAAAATAAAAGGCTCTCAGGGCATGAGGACATCTGTAGCAATGGCCTTCCTAAGATAGGTTTGTGCTTTCTTCCTTCGTGGTATCTTCTGTGATCAGACATACTTGATAGCTATTTTTAAATTAACATGTTCTGATAGCTAAGTAGAAGTAGCAGGATCCATGGTTGTAGCACAGAATGGTTTGAAGGTTCTCCAGAGGATAGTTGAACTAGGAGATCAGAAGGTTTTATATGGAAACTATGCAAAATCAGCACTAAACCTGCTTTCTGAACCAAAGGATAAGATCATACTCATACATAGAAAATATTGCTGGATTGGGATAAATTTTATGCAGACCATTGTGCAGACCAACAAAGCTATGCAAATAAAAAAAAATGTGGTTTGACCCTGAAACATAGCTCCCACAGCCTGCTTTTTGCTATCACCCTTTCACACATAAAGTTTTAGCCCAATCCAATTTTAGTCATGCTAGCTGAAACTCTTGGGATTTTTGGTATCACATTAGAAGGAAATCATTTTAGGGATATGCAGAATTAACTCAAAGTCATTACAAAGGGTAACCAATGTTTACACAGCTATGATAATTAATCAGTTTGCATTAACTCCTAATCTTTGAACATGGATTGAATTGATTAATTTATGGGCCCTTATATTTTCACTCTCTTTTATGTTCTCTGAGGCTATATGTATATGTTTAATAATGTATTTAATTCAGCTATCATTTACTGCAGTAAGGAAATTGGCAAGACCTTTCAATGAATTTATCCATCTGTTGTTAACAAGCCTTGCTGGATTCATCTGAAATGCCTTGGATATCTTCTGGGTCAAATAAATATATTTGGCAGGTCCAGGATAATGCAGTTCAAAAAATAAAGTTATAGAACTGACAGATCAGATTCAGGTTTTCATATGGCAATTTGTGGCATGTTCCCTTTCCCTGGAGCTGTGCTTGAATTTTCATATTAACTGCCAATAGGATTTAGTCATTAGAAGACTCCAGTTGAAGCCCCCTCATAGGCATCCAATACTTTCATCAGTTGTCTCATAGCCTTCTTATGATCTTAAAATCACAAAACGAAAAACTGCGTGTCAGCTTGAATTCTGAGGAAAGAGATGGGAAATAATAACAATAGCAATTAAGACAAATGAAGATGTGAAGGTTTTAAAAAGAGGAATGGTTGCAGTTATAGTAGAAAATATTACAGCTACATTATAAATGCACTCTTGAACACAATGTAATGCCAGCAAAATACTGAATATCAGTATCATTAATAACAAATTTTAGTACGGAAACGTTTGCCTTATTTTTCTCCCAATCTCCAGCTGTAATAAAGCACAAAAAAGATATTGTAAGAGAAGCAAAAGAAAAAGAAAATCCAAATCATGACTGGACAATACAAATGAAAGACAACGGATAATGGCGGCACCATGGATTTTCTAAAGGACTTTCCCT